AAAGAATTACCCAAAAATATGGAAAAACCAGTAATGCTTTTTCTTGTTTCAACACATGAAGCCCAATCACTATCACAATAAGCCTTTAAGCATATATCAGAGGATCTGGAGAAGAGGATTCCTTTACCTACTGTACCTTTGATGTATCTCAAGACTCTGTGGGCAGCAGAGAGATGTTGCATAGTAGGTTTGGAGAGAAACTGACTTAAAGTCTGTACACTGTAGGCAATATCTGGCCTGGAAATGGTGAGATATAATAGTCTACCAACAAGTTTTCTATACTCAGTTGCATCAGTAAGTGTGTCTTTGTCAGTATAAGATTGCAGTTTCAAAGTGGGATCCATGGGAGTATGAGCTGGTTTGCTGCCTAAGAACCCAGTGTCTGTTAAAATATCCAGGGCATATTTTCTTTGGCACATATTTATGCCCTGGCTAGAATGAGCAAACTCTAGGCCTAAAATGTATTTCAAAGTGCCCAAGTCCTTTATTGTAAAACAGGAATCAAGATGAGATTTTATTTTTGTAATGAGAGACAGATTATTTCCTGTAACAATAATATCATCCACATATACTAATAAGGCAGTAAAATCACAATCAGACTGCATAGTGAACAAGGAACAGTCTGCTATGGACTGTGTAAAACCATAAGCAAGTAGGCATTGTGTAAGTTTAGAAAACCACTGTCTGGATGCTTGTTTGAGGCCATACAAGCTTTTAACTAATTTGCAAACCCTTTTATCATTTGGGGGGCAATAACCAGGAGGAGGTGTCATGTATACTTCCTCATCTAAATCCCCATGCAAGAATGCATTATTAACATCAAGCTGATGAATGGGCCAGTTTTTAATGGATGCAAGTGCAATCATGAATCTGACAGTAGTGATTTTAGCAACTGGGGAAAAGGTTTCAAAATAGTCTATCCCCTCTTCTTGTGTGTAACCTTTGGCTACAAGTCTAGCTTTGTATCTTTCTAGACTACCATCAGATTTGTATTTGATCTTAAATAACCATTTACAGCCTATGCAATGCTTGCCTTTTGGAAGGTCTGTTAGGACCCAAGTGTTAGTGTGTTCAAGTGCATCAAGCTCTTTTCTCATGGCCATTTGCCATTGAGGATCTTTAGAAGCCTGAGCATATGTTCTGGGTTCATGCAACAGAGAGATGGATGCAGTGAAGCATGAGTGATGAGCAGACAAAGATGCAGTGGACAGAAAAGAAGATATAGGATACTTGGATGTCCCAGAAGTGCATAAGGAATTAGCTGCAGGATGGGAACTAGAAGAAGGTATAGAATGTTGGTATATATCACGATAAGCAGGTGGTTTAGTAGGTCTAGTTGATCTTCTTCTGGGTGGAGATGTTGTGTTGTGAGAAACAGGTGATTGATGAGGAGGTGAGGTAGCATTAGTTGTATTGAGTGGAGAGGAATTATTGGTAGGTGTTTGATGAATAGTAGTTGGACTGGGAATAGGATTATTAGTGACTGAAGTCTGAATAGTTGTTGGTCTGTGATCAGAATCATTAAAATCAAAAGTATTTGGTTCAGGAAAAAGGAGGTCAGAATTAAGAGAAGATGTAGGAGCTGTAAATGGTAGAATGTTTTCATAAAATTGCACATTTCTGGATATTAATGTTTTCTTGGTATGTAGATTGTAAAGCTTATAGCCTTTACAACCAAAAGGATATCCAAGAAGAATGCATTTCTGTGCTCTATGATCAAATTTGGTTCTATTTGCATGAAGTGTGGATGCATAACATAAGCAACCTATCACTCTTAAATGATTGTAAGATGGCAATTTATTGTAAAGCAGTTCATATGGAGATTTGTTATGTAAAATGATGGATGGAACTCTATTTATGATATGAGCAGCAGACATAACACAATCTATCCAAAAAGACAATGGTAAATGTGCATGAAAGAGTATAGCTCGAGCTACTTGTAAAAGGTGTTGATGTTTTCTTTCTACTCTCCCATTTTGTTGGGGTGTTTCTACACATGAGGTTTGATGGATAATGCCATGTTCAGAATAAAAATCATG